AACCTAGTAGCGATGGCCTCCAACCTAGTAGCGATGGCCTCCAACCTGGTAGCGATGGCCTCCACCCTAGTAGTGATGGCCTCCAACCTAGTAGCGATGGCCTCCAACCTAGTAGTGATGGCCTCCAACCTGGTAGCGATGGCCTCCAACCTGGTAGCCATGGCTTCCAACCTAATAGCGATGGCCTCCTAAGTCGACATCAGTTGAGGTTATCTTCCTCTTCCTCATCGCGACCTCCATGCCGCTCTTCGCAGAGATTTGGATGGAAAGGACGCACCGAAACCACTTAAATTCGTTCGCAAGAGTCTTCCCGAACGACCAGCAAGAAAGGGAACGAACCTGCGAAAGGGAACGACCTCGGCGGGCTTGCCCTTTGGGGGCAAATGCCCTTTGTTGTGTTTTCGGTCCTTGGTGGGGCAATGCCATTGAGTTAGCTTCGGAAGGCTGACTTTTGTGAGGAGCTTCAAGGAGGCAGTCTTCAGATTGGGCAAGCAGTGCGCGGAATTCTTGGGACGAAGATGAGGACAAGGACGACCTCAAAATGCACCTCAGTGGGTTTTCTTTTAGGTTGCTCAGGTCCAACAACCTAGTTGTTGCATGTTGCATCCTGTTGGGCCCAACACTGGGTCATATGTGGCGGCCACAGTTTGGCATAGTAGACTTGAGCATGGACATGGACTTTTGGAGGAAACCAGTAAGCACACTGTGAGTGTGTGTGTGTGTCTCTCTCTCTCTCTCTCGCTCTCTCTCTCTCTCTCAGCAAGCACCTTCACAATCCTTCCCATGTGTTTCACTTAGCTTGGACAAAGCTGTTTGCATTCATGTTTGATCCTTTTTGCAGCTGAATGTTTGACTTTCTTTCTGTTTCAACGGATGCTTCGCTCCAGGTACCTTACCTTGTCTTTCCTCATGTTTGTCTTCCAAGCCAAGATCATCGGATACTATGTCAAGCCCTTGGACTGATCAATTGCACTAGTCACTAATAGCAATGGCCTCCAACCTAGAAACGATGGCCTCCACTCTAATAGCAATGGCCTCCAACCTACTACAGATCTGTGTTTTAGCCGCTCCAACTCTAACCACCTGAGCAAAGGGTGCAAGTCGAGAGAGAGAGAGAGAGAGAACTCGAACCACGTGACCATCCAACCGAGCTATGTCAGCAGCCTGAACTGCACTCCATGCGCTCCAGGTGGTACGAAAGCCCTGGCCATGAAAAACAGCAAGACTCTTCAACCGCTTTAGGACTTCTTCATTTTTGGTTTGGTCGAGTGAGAACCGAAGAACCATATCTCCGAAGCTTGAATTCTTTTGAGGCCGCCCGTGGAAACACCAAACAGATCTTCTCAGACACCGAAACAACCGAGAAGACTCCCCATCGTTATTTATTTGGCCCACGACAAGTAAATTGTCATCCCTGCGGTTGTTTTAATATGCAACAAGTAGAACTTTCCAGCAAAAGCACACTTGGAGTTTAGCTTCGGTGTGTTCATTTCAATATCCAAAGCTCATACTCGTTGAATATACCACTATAATCATGATCCTTGCACTTTATACAGTGCAGTTTCCAAGCCCAATTCGATAAACCAAACAGTGGGTATGCTCAAACATTTTTGGGGCTGGATGATCATATTAGAAAACAACATGATGTTTGTGCTTGGTGATATGGACCATTTCATTTAGCTAAGATGAAAACCCGAGACCATCATTTTGCAAACAGAGTGGCCTTATGCTGGAGATTGTCAACAATTAAAAGGAACACCTCTAAAATATGCTCGTTAGCTTAGCTGTTTGCCAGTTTCAGCCATAGATCCAGCAGCAAGCATTTGTGTCTGTTTGTCTGTCTGTCTTTTTGTCCGTCCGTCCGTCCGTCCGTCTGTCCGTCCGTCCGTCTGTCTGTCTGCTCCGTCCCTTTGGAAAACAACCCAGAAAGCCAACCAACACCACCCCCCTAACAAGCCCAGCAGTCAAACCAACACCCCCCCCCAAACCCTGATCAACAAGGAAAGCCTCTACAAAATGCGTTTTTGCTTAAAACTCTTGGCAGTGCCAGCCCTGGGGCCAACAAAAAGCATTTTATAGAGGCACCCTGGGAAAGCAATCCAGAAAACCAAAACCATGTCCGCCCGCTGTCTGTGGCATGTTGAGGGGACTTGTACCGGTCATTTACAAAAAGACAATCATGTTGAAGAAAGCTTGCAGAAACATATGACTCTAAGATATCATCATTTTGTAAACAGATTGGCTTTAGGATATTTATGGTGACTGCATTTTGTTCGTGTACCATTCTATATACAGGTTCCTTCATTAAAGAATAAGACAATTTGCAGCCCAAGCAGGTCTTCATGGGGTATCAAAGCTCCAAATGTAGGTTCTAATAAGCAGATCTAAAGAACACTGAACAGTCCTGAACCTCATAGCTTAGGCCTGACCTCTCCCGACCTGATCTTCGCCCCTGACCCTCGCTCTCAGGTGGTGAACGAGCTCCGCTACGGCGGGGCGAAGTACGTGGCCACCGGGCGCGGGTTGCCCACCTACCGACGGCCCTTCATTGGTGAGACGGACCGGAGAGAGTGAGAGGGCTTGGGGCGTCCTGGGGGTTTGCGTTGCGGCAGACCTTCGGGAAGACGGAAGACGTAGGACAGGTATTTGCAACCATGGGGTTGGACATGACGTGATGTGACATATATGATAGTAATTCAATTGGGCGTGATCCGGTGACTCGCAGGGACAATAGTTAGGCAAGCTCCGTTTGACAAGTACACAAGCCATAGGATCAGTATGTGGAAGTTTGTGTTTGTGCCATGCAGCTTCAAGGGGTGAAATCATGGAATCCATACTTTTTGACTCTCCTCTCTAGAATTCTCTATTTAATCGTAGGTTTTTAAGAGCTCTTCTTCTCAATACATCTGTAGATGCCGCTTTGTTATACTTTTCTGTAGACATGTCCAGTCATTAGATACGCCTCTTGCTAGAAATCAGGATTTAATACTTCGAAGCTTTTCTTGAATAACCATAGTTTTAATGGAGAAACTGACCAGGTGCAGGCTCTTTGAGTCTTTCACCACTCACCTCGAGAGTCTCGCTTGCGAGACGGTCTCGCAGGAGAAAGGTACCAGCAAGTTGCAAAAGGCGCCAGAGACCGGCACCGGACCATGTTGGAACCCCCAAAGAGAAACACATACTGCATTCATATATTGATTATATGATTATATACATCTTATTTATTTATAGACACACATTAAAGACACACATTTTTATATAACCATATTAAAGACACATATTATATAATATTGTTTATGGAATTCGAAGCTCCCAACTCCAAATGAACCGTAGCTTTCTGAACAAGGAAACCTGCACTGCGGCACTTGACTAGCTGGCCTGTACTTTAGATAGATTCGTCAGTGGATTTGCTATCTACTGGTATTGTCAATGACATATTCAATTTGTGTATATTCCCACCGATCATGCACGAGCACAGTCACAGCAATTTTCTTGCACAGGTGGGCGGTTTGTACCTGGACTATGCCTCGCTGGGCTCCAAGAGCGCTAGGGGGATCCGCATCTCCAGAACTAGATCCTGATTTTGATGGTTTTAGGTTGGGTGTGTCCCATTACCTGTAACAGTCGACAAAAGATTATCACCATTTTTGAGAAAGGTCTTTACTAACCACCCAGGTCTTAGGTCCCATTTCTGTATGTCACTTTTTTTTTGATCGATGCAGATGAATGACAGCACGGTGGGGCTGAGTAATGAGGCGCCGATGTGGGATATGCGAGAAATGATCAAGATAACTTGATGTACATTCGAAGCGATCCAAGCAAATGGATGGTGTTCTCGAAAGCTGCTGCAACGATGTCCGCCAGCAATATGATTCGTTTAGGTGAAACGATCAACAGTGGTGGCACAGTGGTGGTCTCGAGATTCCACTTTGTTTAGAAACCAATGTCATTGACGCTACTATATAACTACATTTACTACATCTCATATGTATATATTATATATTATATATACATACAAATTCAAGTAATGACAGAAAGTACTGGTACACCACTTGCATAATTCTTTTTGACCCCACATTGGTGCGCCACTATTGTTCACCACGATTTCCAGACTGAGGTATGCCTACTACGACGGCATGCGCCTTCTCTGGAGCTGCATCGCTGTGTCTGGTGGCCTGTGGGGGGCATGTCGTGCCTCCGGGATTAAAGGCGCCATGTCTCACCATTTGCGTGAAAGGTCCAGTCGTGCTATTTGATGATCGATTTCAATACTGTATATTTCAATATGTATAAATATACCTTAGCTTGCATAATTCTGTTGAACCAATACTATGTTGTGAAGCTACATTATTTCTTACTAATTTGGGTAGCCATGCCCAGAGTTTCAGACGTGTTTGCTTTTTGGGTTCACGTCAGTTAGCCAAGCCTAGTAGCCATTGGCCACGGACTGTTGGAGCACATGATAGTCAGTGCTAAAACGAAGTAGCTTGTGCTCGTCTTGGAAGATAATGTCATCCAAATCGGAGGGTCCACGGTGCGGTTCATTGACGACAGAGGTCACGCACTTGACAAATCAGTCTTGGCTCCTGCCAAGTCATCTCTGGTGGTACGGTTGACAACTCAAACCCATCCCCATCCAGAAACAATACCACTGCAGACAGCTATTTGAACGTTGTAGAAGGGGTAGCCCCCCA